CATCCATCCATCCATCCATCCATCCATCCATCCATCCATCTACCTATTTGTCCATCCATCCATCCGCCCATCCGTCCATGCATCCAATTGGATGTTCCTCTACAACCGATCTGTAACTCAGTCAGTCTAACAGACTTTAGGTCAAAGTTTGATGTTGAAGAAGCCGACAGTCGTTCACTTCACCTCGTCTGAGTATCACATCTTCTTTGATGTTATTTTTAAGATTTGAGCAGAACAGCTAGAACTTCATCATTTCTCAGCATGAGATGATCTAATTTTAAACTTGACATGAAAGGTGCTGAGGATATGTATTTTCAAGGAATGATTGGTTTTTAATCCCACTTATTTTTCTACAAAAAGTAAACAATTGTAGCTGATTTCCAACGTTATATTTCCCCGTCATCAGTCCCGTGTTACAGTTCGTAGACTCACCGCTGGTTGCAGCTGGCCGTTGATGCTCACTGTGCGAAGTGGTGAGTTGGTGGAAAGACGCTTGTCCCACTCACTGGGTCTAGGTGCTGGAACAGACTCCATGAAACTTTTTTTTAGCTCACTGATGCTGCTGTGGTGACGCATGAGCTCACTCTTTGTCTGGGTCTTGTCCAGGTCCTTCAGTGGGAATGGAAAGGTAAGGTTAGGTCGGTGGAAGAGAAGAAATACAACCAGGAGGAGGGAAAGGATGACTACTGACTATACAGCATTACAGTGAGTACACAAGAAACAAATGTAGGTGAATAAATAAAAAAAATAGACCAAAATGTTTCTGAACTTACTTTTACAGGAGTAATGGGAGGGAGACAAACAGGCAATAAATACACCAGTTCTGAAAAAGTTAGATATTGCGTGAAATGTAAATAAAAACAGAATCCAATATTTGCCAATCTCATAATATATCCTATATTTTACTAACAACGACACTGAATATGTTCAAAGTCCAACACCCACCATTATAGTCCCAAGTGCTCTTAAGAGCTAATCACTGTTGTAGAATATGGTGGTTATGTTTTTTTTTTTTTTTCCAAATTCAGGTCACGCAAGAGTTTTAAAAAAAGCCCTAAAACAAGCAAACCAGTCACGGATACACTCGAGCACACGGCTGATTATTACCAAAGATCATCATTGATGATGTCACGCCAGAGATTGGCACAGGCAGGAGTGCCCGTTCACATGCAGGAAGGCGCATGTATTCACGGGCAGGAGCGTGGCGCTCGGTGCGCTCTTCCTCTCTTTCCTTCTTCTAAAACAAATAATGGATCTCCTACTTCTTCATCAAAGTCCTCACTCTGTCTCAGACTCTGTTTCCCCTTTTCATCTCTGCCTCTGCTGTCTGAGAAGGTTCTGACCTCTTGGCGCCGTCCATTTCTGGGTCTTCAGCTCCATCCTCCACCTCAAACACAACCTGCAAGTTCACGTTCAAAAATTGCCTCATTGTTTTGTCTCAAATGCACTAAAACTGACTAAACACTAAACTACACCCTAACTATGAAATCCAAACATGCTAAATATCAAATCTCATGACTCACTCCCGCTCTCTCTGTTTCTATTGCTGCCAAACTTCTTCATCTTCTTCTTCTTCCTGTATATATTTTGGTGCTTGACAAACAACTAGGCTTCAGTCAGAAAGGAGGTGGGGGGTTTGTTGGTTTTGCAGGGGTGAGAACAGTGAGGGTATTTGTTCCATGACACTGCTCGTCTTTGCAGCTTCCTCCAGCCTTGCACAAAAGAAATCTGGTGGTCTACGTTTCCCACAGAACATAGGTATTTATTTATGTCTCCATCATCTTTTGATAGATCTGTAACATTAAAAAATGGTAGGTGTTGGACTTAAAACTAAAAAGATTGTAAAAGTTGTTCCAGGGTCATGTTTCTCACTGAGAAGCATCTCCTCTTCGTTTACTAGCAACTAAAAATTAAAAAACAACAGTTGTTGGAGTTTTGCCAAATTTTAGTACTCCTTTAGTGGGTTGTTCAAAAAGACCCATTCTCTACTACATATCCAAGAACAAAGTCAAGAATCTTAGTCATCCATCCCATAATGTAAAATCAGCTCAGAGTTTGACAGAAACACAAAACATCACGTCCAGTAGCATCAAGATGGAGGGGAGATAACATCATCCACATCAATGGGAGCCAATGAAAACTAAAGGCTAAAACTCTGTGAAATCAAAGCCACACACATGATTGGGAAAGTGAGAATAAATACTTAATAAATGATAATCCCTGTAATTTCAGGTTTTTTTCACACATTCAAACAGAAAAAGCAGAAAACTGTCTCAGTTCATGGCAGCTACATTCCTCACATGATATCTGGCTACAGTCAGGTTTATCTAACAACTAACATCCTCCTGATGGAAACATGTATCGTGAACTCCAGTCACTAAACATTTCTCTTAGACGACTAAAAATAAAAGGTTATTAATAAGTAGTGTAGAACCTGTTGTACTGTAGATAAGTGTGCTGAACAACTTCACCCAGGAGTGAACAGCTGGTCCGTATGCGACATCTTTAGTTTCCAGAATTTCACAATGATGCAAACACTGACGTATAAATCTTGACATGGTTCTTATTTTTGTTTGCACAATTATTTGATCAGAAACAAGAAATTCCTTCCTGGCATGACCTCTGGACGAGCTGCAGCTGCTGACCCCTGACTGTCAGGCTCACACGTGTGTAAAGGTACACCGATGCTGAAGGTTGGAGCTGTTTTCAGACGGCAGTGAGTTTGGTCCTGGCTGTGTTCAGATTAGACCAGAGGGCCTAGTTCTGGTCCTGGAGGGACACCACCCTGCACGTTTCAGATGTTCCTCTGCTTCAGCAACCTGATCTGAATCAAATGGAGCTCAACGGGCTTCTGTAGATCATGAACAGGTGATTAAACCATTTACTCAGATGTGTTGGAGCAAGAAGAAAGTTAAAACATGCAGGATGGTGCCCCTCCAGGTCCAGGACTGGACCCCCCTGGATTACATATTGATTAGATCATATAGTAGAAGAAATAATAAATAAAAAAACATGCAAATTGTGATACAAGTACCATATTTGGCACGATGATTTTCTCTGAGGTATTTGTTAAATTTCCCTGATTGGCCATTTGAAAAATCCAAGATGGCTGCCAAGATGAGCTTATTTTGCACATGTTGATGCAATTACTTGATCAACTGAAATGATTTACATGTTTTTTTGTGTCAGGAGCCTAACACTCTGCAAACACATATAATAAATGAACCATCTTGGATTTTTAGATGACCCTGTTCAGAGGAGTCTCCAACCAGCTCTCTGTGCTGCTGGACCTGACCTGGGGTCATTTCAGAAGCTCTCCAGTCTCAGGATCATCACTGAATTAACTGATTTTCTTAACAAGTTTGCATTAAGATCGTTTTTCTTCTTTCTATTTTTTAGTCAGTCAAATTTTTACACATTTAAGAAATCAGAAAACGTCTGACCTATTACACGCATACTTTGTGTTTTTGATGGTTCTTGCACCAAGACCTGTGGACTGACCCTAAAGTCATCTAGGACCAGTCTAAATCCACCAGTTTTACTATAGTTTCAGCATGAAGTGTGAGCAGCAGCTACAAGACCAGATCTATCTGTGAGAAAAACTTTCCCAGTCATGACGTGAGTCAAGGACAAAAACGACAAACTGATGTGAAACTACTTGCATGAGTGTCTGAGAGGAAAATTGTGCATGCCAACTTTTTAGGGTTCAACTAGAAAAGAAAAGAAAACAACAAACATCAACCAAATTAAAGTGAAACGTATTCGTGCAGGCAGGAAACGGACACAACAAAACCAGCTATAAAAATACAAACCTCCAACATTAAATTGCTATGCCTGATATAAATAGTTTCGCCCTCGAGTCTTTTGGATTTCTTCTGTGGAAAACGAGGAGCAGGGAAGAAAAACAGGTTGTGAACACAGAAATAAAGGTTTTCTGCAAAATAACAGTTGTGATCATGACGATGGCATAAAATAAGAGAAGCAGCGTTGACGTGCAGAAGCACACACATGCAGAGAGCGGTGGTGTGGCGTGCAGTAAAAGCCTCTCCGTGTCCTCAGCGTTGGATCACACACAGAACCGACTTCATTCAAACAAGACTCTGTGAAGTCTTCAGAGCTGTGGTAAAGATTTATACAAATTATTTGGATTATAAATTAAACCTGATTCTTCCTTTTCGGGTCACGGGAGTCACTGGTGTCCATGTCCAGCCAACACTGTGCAAGAGGTGGGGGACACCTGGACATGTCTCCAGTCCATCACAGGGACACATAAAGACAAACAACTCTCTCTCACCTAGAGATAATTAGAGTTACCAGTCAGTCTAACATGCATGTTTTTAGTCTGTGGGGGGAAACAGGAGTACCTGGAGAAAACCCATGCAACATGGAGAGAACATGCAAACTCCACCCAGAATGCCCCCCCCCCCCCCCCCCCCGGCCAGGATTCAATCTGGCGACCTTCTTGCTGAGAGGCGGCAGCTCTACCAACTGTTCCACCGTGCTGTCCTTAAATGCATCATATGCTTTTTATTTAGAAAAATGAAAACTGTTAATACCAAAGTTTGTGCTCAGTAATCCAAAAAAATAAACCGTCCAGATGATCTGACTGAACATTGTTGGATTATTACCTGGATTATTGAGCATGAACTGTTGGCGTTTCGAACCACTTCTGCCTCAGAGTTGACGGGGGAGAGGGCGGGTCCCGGAGGTCATCTTATCACCAGCAAACTTTTTTTTTTCCCACTATGGAAGTGTGCTGTTTGTGGTGGGACTCAATTTGTTGGTAGCTTCTCAGATTGAAAAAGTCCTTTGGATGAAGGACGAAACGTTTCAGGAAAAAAATAAAAAAAACATCCAGATGACCTGATGGAACATTGTTGGAAAACTCTTTAATATTTCAATCTGTGCCCTGGACTATGAAGCAGGATTAGAGCGTTATCAGGTAAATTCAGGTTTGGAGCAGCTGGTTCTGTTAATCCTGCTCGCCTCCCCTGGACTGGATAAGATTAGGGTTCTGTATCAGAGATCACACGTGATGCTGTGCCGCTCAACCAATCAGTAGCCTTTATAAATAAATACAAACAGTCATCAACATGTAACAGACTTAATCTATTTCTCCCTCCTTAGATGCATTAATCTGTCCTCCTGCTCTAATGTTAAAAATCTTGGTGTTATTTTTGATCAGGACATGTCTTTTATCCCCCACATTAAAAACGTTACTAGAACCTCCTTCTTCCACCTGCGTAATTTCACTAAGATTAGAAACATCTGATCTAAAAATGATGCAGGAAAAACTGGTCCATACATTTGTCACGTCTGGACTGGAATATTGCAATGGTTTATTATCTGGGTGTCCAAATACTTTAAAACGTCTTCAGTTGATCCAAAATGCTGCTGCCAGAGTCTTAACTTTTAAAAGGGAGTTTTTCCTTTCCACTGTTGCCACTGTGCTTGCTCAGGATGGGAGACTGCAACGAAGCCAAGATTCATCTTGTCTGCTGGATTCCTTAGATAGAGAACTTTACTAATTGGCTTTTATGTTTGTGAATGTTCCTGTAAAGTGCCCTGAGACAACTTTGTTGTGATTTGGTGCTATATAAATAAACTGAATTGAATTGAACAAAGTCCATGCTCAATAATCCAGGTATCCTGAATTGAACTGAACTGAATCTTAAAAAACACTTTTATTCCCTGTTTTTGACACAGTGTGATTTGTTCTTCACCTGTCTATAGTCTACAGTGTTAGCCATTTAGTTATTACAGTATCTTCTTCCATTCATATCTATATTTTTATTTAACTTTGTTGTTTTGCTGTGTGCTTTGTTCATTTGTTCTGCTGCACAGCACTTTATTGGCCTTGTTGCTCGTTTAAGTGCTCAGTAAATTAAGTGGTGTGGTATATTTTCTTTTCTACTCAAGTTTTACGTTTGGACTTTGAGAGACATCCTGATGAAATGGACCTCTGCAGAACCCCACACTTGTGTTGCATCGAACAGAAGATGTAACGTTTGCCTCTAATAAATGTGCTCGAGTCCAGAACTTTTTAACATGAATACCTGAAAACTCTCAAAGATTTCCTGCAGTTCAAACATAAAAATGTTCATTTCCACAGAGATGAGATCAAATGTTTGAAGGACTGATGGAGATCTCAGATTACAGCAACATTTTAACGGCTGCTTCATTTAAAATAAACTCCCTCACTGGACAGAACGGTGTTCATGCTCAGTAGGATTCAAACGTTAATGTCTCAATAAAAGGCAGCGCCCGTAGCACATTAATTTAATAAACACAATAAAAGAAGCCCTGTGGTTAGATCTGTTAGGCCGCAGTATAAAATGACCTGTTTGTATTTTTATTTTCTTACGTTTCCTTCAAGCTTCACGAATGAAGTGAAATATAACTAGAGACACGAATGGAACCTGGGAATTGAAGTCACAATGGTTCCAGTTTTGAACAATGGGAGGAGTCTTATTATATTATATTCATCCATCCATTATCTTTACCCGCTTCTTCCATTTTGGGTCACGGGGGTCAATCACTGTGCGAGGGGCGGGGTACACCCTGGACAGGTCGCAAGTCCATCACAGGGCTTATTTATTATTATTTATATAAAATGTATATATTTGACTGAGATCGGTCCTCCAACTGAAGCGTCCAGGTCCAGAGTCAGAAACCCCGGGTGGTTTAGTCTGATACTGGGCTTTGTGTTACCACTGAGCACCGCGCTTCGTTGTTAAGAGTCAGTGATGACCGAAGCTCTACATAACGTTGGGTAATTTTGACCCAGCTCAACCTGAATGGTTTTCACTGCTCTGTGGGAAGATATAAAGTAAATGTTAAGGTTTTGTAAAAGTCATGAAATAAGCCTAATAAATGAAACAAGCACAAGCTGTGAAACACAGACACACAACTCAATAAAGAAATTAAACATGCCTCCATGAGGGAACACTAATACAGACAAAAAATAAAAGTAATAAATCTGCTCATGATGCAGACGTGGCATGTCACAGAGAAAACCAGCTCAGAGCTAACCTTCCTGACTCGAACCATTTCCATCTTCCTGTCCTGCGGAGAGGGGGAGGGGGGGTCCACAAGGAGGCAGCGTTACAGTCTGTTCAACTCAGCAACATGAAGACCATGCACAAATATTTAAACTTAAAACAACTGACTGTGAACCTGAACTTTACAAAGAAGGAAATAAACAGCTTCCGATCAAGATTTGGTGAAAAACGTACAAAACGTTAAAGACGAGTCCTGCAGTAATAAGACTACGTTCACCGTGCAGGCTCTGTGGTCGTTCTCATTCTAATCTCAACCTGGTCTCCATCAGAGTCCAGGGCGAACAGTCCACGGTTACGAAGACATGACGTCACATGCCGCGCGCTGCGTTCACAGACGGACACATGGAGGCTACATGTTAGCATGAGTGGATCGGCTCTGAAGGTGTGTAATCAGAACAAATTACATTATTGTCTGACAGGATTATTGAGTCCAGTGTTTATACCATAATTTCCAGACTATTGAGCGCACCCGAATATAAGCTGTGCCCACTAAACAAAATTATAAAATTGTACATGGCCGCACATGTCTATAAACTGTGGGTGTCCATGTTGTAACATGAAGTATTTACACAGAAATATTTTTAAAACTTTTAATTAAATATGTACCAGGAACTGTTTCTGAACAGTGCTGGTTAAAAAAAATACAGTAGACTACCAGGAAGTCATTGAGCGCTATCTTCGGAGGAAGCAATAGCTATGCTTACATGTGCAAAATTATTTGACTGGATTGAAATGTTTTCAGATTAAATAATCCAAATGTATCGTTTACATGGGCACAATCCATTCATGATGAGCATTTACATGCAGCGAGCTTTGTTCGGAACAGAAGTACTGACATGCGCTGAGTGGTAGACTCTCCTTAAAAAAACACAGAAGAAGAAGTTCTACTTCCGTGATGAGCGTAAACAAACCTGAGCGCCCAAAATGGACCCGCGCCAGATTTTAATGACAGTGGAGACGTTAATTTGATAACGTAATTTTGAGCTTTTTCAAAGTTTCTAGAAGAAATGTTGTGTCGCTCACCGATCAGTTTTACTTCCCTTACATGCTAATATTATTAGCATTAGCCAGGCGGAAATGACATCGGTCACACATGTGCAGTCCGGTCAGTTTTTCACGATCGGAAAACAATGATGAGATTACGTGTTTACATGAACACCTTTCGGAATCAGAATAAACCAGCCATCTCATTCTGATTACAAATTAATTCAGATCGAGCTGAAACAACAAAAATTAATCTGAATGGGGCGTTTACATGACACACTTTTATTCCGAATGGCCGTTTAATCCAATTACTTATGTCCATGTAAACATAGCTAATGATGCAATGCTGCACAGTTTCCCACCTCCCTGGGGGGACGGGGGGGGGGGGGGGGGGTGGGGGGGTGAGAAACTGAGAAATTATTTAAAGGGGGAAATGTGGGGGATGGGCGGGGGACAAAGTTTCACCTTCTCCCCACTGTGGCCTCTTCGGTAATTTCACTGGTCAGATGTTTTTAACCTTTACATATACAGGTAGTTTCATTGAGTCATGAGGACCCACCCCCCAAGAGAGACGTGTGTTGAGTAGCTATGTGAGCACCCGGGTGTGATGAGGCTAATTGTTTTGGCAGCATGAAGCTCGTTAGCCCGTCAAAAAAAATAATCCACAAATTAGTCGCAGCATTGTATACGCCGCGGGGTTTAAAGCTTGTGAAAAAAGTAGCAGCTTATAGTCCGGAAATTACGGCATATACTGCATATATATATTGCTGCTTTCTGCCTAATCCTGAGCAGCATTTTATTTCTGGAACAGGACCGATGTACTAAAGGTAAAACTAAGCTCAAGTATTAATCACATCACATTAGCATCGATACGGTTCAACTCTAACGTTAGGGTTAGATGCTGGTTAGGGCAGGACAAATTAAAACAACTGGACTTGTGTTCTGCAGCTGAAGTCGTGTGGAGTTCAGAGCTTTAACCTGATACTGGTCTCAGTATCATCAACACTTGGCTCGATCCACGGCCTCACTCAGGTCAGAGGCTAAATGAAATGAGGTCTGAGCGTTCAGACTGAGGCGCTTCTAGAAACATCAGATGGGGATCTGATTTAGGACTACAGATGAGAACGATCTGGGTCGGATTAGAAAAATCAGATTTGGGACATTCAGAATGTCATCAAGAAATCAGATCTGGGTCGGACAGATACCTACAGCTAACCTGCTGTCTTTCTACTCCCTTAAGCTTTTAGCTATAATTTTATTACACTTGGCTTTTAACTACTGTTTTGATAATTGTAGCTTCAGTTCTGCTTGTTTTACCAAATAAATTAGCTAAATATTTGTTCGTCAATAAGTTTTAACAAAGTTGCAGGTCCCAAACTGTGGAATGGTTTGCTAATACGTGTCAGGCAGCCTGGTTTAAAAACACATTTACTCCCTGGCCTTCGACCCAGTGTCAGATGGTTTTAACCTCATATTAATGGAGTCGTTCCAATTGTTTGTTTTTTAGTTCTGATGATTTATGTCTTTTCTCCTGTGTCCTCTGCTCGTCTCTAATCGTACAACACTTTGGCTAAGAGTTTATAAATGGTAAAGTCAGACAGCACTCGGCAGTCACGCTGCATTTTTACTGAATATAAATCTGGTGTACGTCACTTGGTCCTGACGTTAATGCAACTGCAAAACTCTTAGTTTTGAAACCGGAAGAACGGAATATCAAGAAAAAAAAATCAAAGGGAAAAAGTATCATCGTCTGTGTTTGATTCCATCTCTAAAAACCATCATGTGAATTGTTCAGATCAGGTGAACAAACCTGGCTCTTCCTCTCTTTTTCCCCACTCGTCAGAGCTGGAGAGTGCCTCCTGTCTCTTCTGGACCCAGTCTGGTAGACCAAAGCTCACAGTTTGAGAAAGAATCCTCACAGAAATTAAAAAAACACCTTTGTACAGTGACAACCTCCACCTGGCAACAAGGGGAAGTCATGAACCTAAAGGTCTCTAATTTCAACTGCTTTTGTACATATATTTATTCTTATCAATATTAAATCTCTCTTTAGTCAAGAGTTCAGAGTCCTGGGCCTCATCTACACTACTCTGGATTGTTTTTACTCAGTTAAAAAAAAACAACATTTGTTTATTAATTGCTGTATTACCCACACCACACCACTAGGGGGCGAGGACAACTTCATTAACAACAGATTGATACAGAGAAAGATGTTTAGCTTAAATTCATTTTTGGGTAAAGTTTACCGTTTACTCTCACTTATTAATTATTTAAGCACACAATCAAAGTTCAGCAAAGTAGAAACAATCGTAACAACAGTACCGCATACCGTATTTTTCGCCGTGCACGTCGCACGCATCAGTCCAAATATGTCTAATAAAGTGGAAAAATCTATAAATATGTCGCTTCGCCGTATAAGTTGCATCTATTATGCGTCACCGATGACGCATCGCATTTGTTACGCACCACCGCTGCCAACTCGAAAACGTGGGCCGGTGTTGTGGCAAAAATCGATTGGCTGCCAAATGGCGGCTGCGGGAGCGCACACTGGAGGACTTTAACAAGAATTTAACAAGATTAACACTTAAAAGAACATTCAATACAAAAACAACTGGACTTCATTTGAAACAGAAGACGTTTCGCTCCTCGGATGAAGTCCAGTTGTTTTTGTATTGAATGTTTTTTGAATTTATCGTGTCCTGGATGACTGAGAATCGTCACCAGCAAGGTTAACACTTAAAAACAATTATTTATTTGCTCAAAATTATAGTAAAGGTGTGTCTCAGTCTAACTTTTGCGTAATAAATGCACTTTGACGGTCATATCAGCTGCATTTAAAAAGCCGATACGTGGAAGTAGGAACGCACAGAGGGACGAGTGTCTGCACATTTCTTCAAACTTTAACAAGATAAATACCGAAAAATATTTATTTGTTAGTTCGACTTTATAGCTAAGGTGTGTCTCAGTTGAACTATTACTTAATAAATGCACTTCAATGGTCAAATTGGCTGCATTTTGTCGAGGCGGCGCAGCGAAATGAAACCGATTTGATGGTTGCTCCAAGAGAGCTGGACGAAGGTGGCAGTCTATGGCAAGCCGATTGTGTCATTAATAGCCACTTTTACCTATTACATGATACAACGGCATGCCTTACTACTCGAGTGTCATCTAGCGGCTGAAAATGGTAGTGTTCAATATTTTCAGTCAGAATGAATGAAAACGGTCATATCTCAGACAAAAGTTGGTTTATAAATATGGGAAAAAATCCATAAATACATCGCTTCAGTGTATAAGTCGCCAGGCATGCAAATTATGCAAAAACTGCGACTTATACAGCGAAAAATACGGTACATTATACACCCGTTGACAAGCTATTATACAGAAATCTATAGCAATGACCCAGAAGAGCCTTGTATAACCTTTGACCTTGATTTGTGATCTTGACCTTAGAGCTGGGAAGATGTAAAGGTAAGTGAAATGTTGTCCAGTGGTGGTACAAATTCATATCAAGTTCCAATTATCTTGAACGGATCAGACATTAAGTACAGGAAAAGCAATAGCCTTGCTTTTAACTTTGACCTTGATTGTGACCTTGACATTAAAGCTCATACGTCCTGCCTTTCTGCCTCACGGGTGTTTTGGTTTCTGAGCTCAGTATCATCCGAGTCAACACGGATGCACCAAACAGCTCTAAAAGATCTTTGGAAAGCAGTATTTGCAAATCTTGTTTTCCTGAACAAAAACTCTTAACGTGTAGACGGGAGGCAGAAAACCTCTGTTTTTAAAACTGTCCAGAGTAGTGTAGACCTGGATCTACCTGCAGCTTAGCAGATACATTGAGTTTTACTTTAAACCTGTTGCAGTGATACAATCAATAAATTATCCTTACGTAGTTTGTGAACTAAGTGTGCCCTCGAGGCGTTCATGTCCCTTACCTTGATTTCTAGGGCAGACGGGGTTTTGGGGCTGTGGCTCTTGGTGCCCTCCAGCCTACATTCCCTTTTCGGGTCTATCTTTCTGTCTTCATGGCGCTGGCCTTTGGGTGTCGAGCCGTCATGGTGGTCAGGTCGAGGCAGGGTGGACAGCATCGGGGATGGGGCGGCCTCCCCTGGAGACACTGGGGTTGTGACGGGGGCGCTGACTGGACGAGTGGACTTGTTGTCAGGAGTGGAGGCCATGGCTGGAGTGAACACACACAGGAGTGGTTGAAAGTATATGAAAGTGACTAAGGTGAGAAAAGAACCCAGGGTACGGAACACATACAGAGTCTATGGAAAGTTTCCTCCCCGTTGGATATTTTATGCTTTTATTGTTGGGATAAAAGAATTACAGTAGTCCCTCGCTACTACGCAATGTGACTTTCGTGGACTCATTGTTTTACGGGTTTTCAACGTAAGATTGTACACGACACACGATTGGCTGATTGATGGAAGGTGACCAACCAGAGCATCGTGCTCTGTATCCCAGGCGCTCATCGACTCAGTCGTCGTAGCATCAGTCTGTCTGCTCTCGTTCAGTGTGCTCTTTTGTGAAGAAGCAGCAGCGCCAGCAACTCCAAATAACTATGTTCATCACTCGAACGAAGGGATCTGGTTTTATACAGGCTTAAAATATATATAAATACTAAAATAAATACAACGTCCCTACTCCACAGATTTTCACCTACCTGGAAGTCTATCTGGGTGTCTGGAACGTAACCCCCATGATAAGTGAGGGATGACTGTTTTTTCTGGCTGTTTTATGCACTTTTTGTGTGTTTGTGCGACTTGATGTGGATGGTAAGAGTGCTCTATCTGGGCAGCACGTGTCTCATATTCTCAGGTCTTTGGCACATTAAAGGACTTTGTTTGCAACCAGCAAACCCATTCATTGCTAGTCCAGCCAGGCTCACCTACTCCTGGGACGCCTTGCTGAAGCTGAACTGCTCCCACAAGGAGGCAGATGATGCTTCCCTTAGCACCAACAACATGTCTGGAATAACTTTGGGGGTAAAAACAGAAGCGGTGGCAGAGGGAGAAGAGGAGGGATATGCAACAGGTTGAGGAGAAGAGGAGTCTATACCTGCCATCACGCTGTAAAATGTCCACAAAATGGACAAACTATGCGTGCTGATCAAGTCTGATCCAGATCATCAACGATCCAGTGTTTTCTGTCTCAGGGGCATGGTTCTCTCTCTGTGGACTTTCAGCTGGAAGGATTTGACTTTGATTTTCCATTGTGAACGAGATGCAGCCCAAACACAGAAGTCAGTCAGTAGTTAACAGTAGGTGGGCTATGAACTCCCCAACAGAACTGTGAGACAAACGGACTACAAACTATCTAACACGGTTGAATCAGGTCCTATGGACAGGTTCTTCTGCAAACAATCAGCTGAAACCACATAAGTTCCATACTGTGTACGTTCCAGGTCCTTAGTTTAAACTGGCAGCTGAACACAAAGCTGTCGCACAACTCCCTCTGACTGAACCGTACATGCGATCAGTGTTGAGGACAGACAGCTTCATTACTCAGGACCTGTCTCACACCTCAACCTTGTCTCTGTTTTATTGTTATTATCAGGGACCTATCTCATCCCTCCACCACTCCTCTTTGTTATTACCATTATCAAGGACCAGTCTCACCCTTCCACCTCCTGTGTTACTGTCATTGCCAGAGGCCTGTCTCACTGACACCAACCTTCTGCATTAATGCCATTACCACAGACCTGTCTCACCCCTCAACTACTCCTCTTTGTTGTTGCCATTATCAAGGACCTGTCTCACCCCTCCACCACTCC